TTGCTAAATTTTATAATTTTTTAAAAGATCAGTGCACAAAGGGGAGCAATGCTTGGTAGTTTTGTTTTTATTTTTAATAGCAAGCAATGCTTGGTAGTTTTTCCAGTTTTGTGGAATGAATATGTAGAGAGATGCCTTTAAGGGCCCGGGTATCCACCAGGAAAATTATTTAATACGCCAATTTCATGTAAATTAATCAAAGAAATTTGATACTATTATGTCTTTGATTTTTGTATGATGAAATTTAATTAGTAGAAGAAACATATTAATTTTTTTTTAATATAGAAAGAGAGAATCCTATCTATATATCTTCGTTGTTCCAAGAAAACACCTATCGATCTCTCACTTTCTCTTGGCATCACTTCTGCTATCTTAAATCTTATTTATTTATTTATTATTTTAAAAAGTGTACAAGTATGTTTTTCAGGAGAGCCCCCAACGCTTTTCAGATTTTTGAGAGGATCTTTTTTTTTTTTTACAGAGCTCACTCCCGTAATGTTTTATGCTCATCTTGATGCTTGATTCGTAGCTCCAATTTTCATTTTTAATGTCAAATATGTACTGATGATATTCTTCTCCCCTTCCACTTGAAGCAACTTGGAGTTGAAATTGGGATGCCCCAAACTTTTATTCTTCAACTTAAATAGTGTATATATCACCTTTACTTGATCCCCACAAAGTACAAACGTTAGAGATCGTCAGATTCCACATATACTTTTCCTTCTTCTAATCATGATTTATGTCTTAGTAAGGGTTCCTCATCATTAAGGACATGTATATATTTACCCACAAGGTTTAACATTAAGTAATTAAGATTTGTGAAGAAAACAAAAGTGATCAAGAACCGATGATTTCATGTCCCATATTTGAATCACATCAGATTGCTTGTGAATTTCTTATCTTTATGCACCATAAAAAATGGAGCTTCTTCCATTTACAAGAGTAGACCATTAATGACCCCCTGATATAATAGCAGACGTGCCTTGCCATGGCTAGTTCTAAGCTAAGAGAGACTAGTTGTGGTGGTTCCATAAAGAGATTCACAAAAATCTTACTCTCTATAATCAATACATGCTAGCTAGCTATACTAGAAAAGGGGGATTTTCATTGAATCTTGCTTACATCCGATGAGACTACTAGTTATTGATCAAGATAATTCCCTCTATTGTTTTACCCTAACAATCATTTTCTAAACACATATTGGATGAGCTAAAAGTGATGGTATATAATAAGGTGACATCATTCTTAAGTCGGGCCCTCCATGATTTCAAGTTAATTCATTAGTGGCTCGATCAAGTTCATAGCTCCTCTATTTGTTTACACTGCAACAATTATTTGAAGTCACTAAAACCTAAAGAGAAGAGATCTAATAATATCATTTCCCATCATGACGAGAATTGTTGTTACTATTATATAATATTGGACAACATTGAATTAAGCTAGCTATTAGTAGTGGATGAGGCACTTGAATTGGGCCAAATTCACTGCATTACAGTCTCTAATCAAAAGATTTTGCCTCCAAACTAATCTAATACTTAACGAAAAGAGGCTCCATCAAAGACTTGCAGTTGGAATCTTCTGTCACAACACATAAAACGGGAGAACAAGCACTTATTCCCCCACTTGGGGTGGATTTATGACGTATTTAGAGCTCCATTTATTTACATTAAATTATCTTTTCTATGTTCTCTGCAGATAAGGGTACTGCCCAGATAGTGTCCCACATATATCCACTTGAAGATATATATGTCTATATATGTGCCTTCATATATAGGTGGATACGCACATACTCCTGTAGGCCAAATCTTTTAGTTGGGCATTAAGTCCCGTCTTTTTTCTTTTTTATTTTTTTTATTTTCAGTATTCCCGTTGGAGTGACGAGCAATGACATTAACATGACAGTATTGTTGATTCAGCATGTGCCTTACTCTAGTTCATAACCCATATAGATGAATATTGAAGTGGAACAGTTGGGTAAATATTTTGGACTTTTATTCTCTTTAATTGAAATGAACTTAATAAGGCATAGCCTTCAAGCCAGAGATAACATCTTCAGATTTGGTGGATTTTTTAGATAATTCATTCACTGATTAGTAGGTATTAAACAAACTATCCATATTTGGATGGATATGTTCATAATAAAATATTTATTATGTAACATACTTGAACAAATTTACTACCCGTACATAGTATAGCAGCATTTTAAACTGAAGTAGTTGAGATTGATTGTGGAATCCACTTGAACCTAGCTAGAATGATAGGGACTTATCCATTCTGCGTGAGATTGTTTCACTACAAATTGCTAAAGAACAATGGCATCAAATCTTTAGACATAAACGTAAGTTATTCTCGTATTCATACAGCAAAAAGTGCAGCTTATAGAGTGGCCCCACACACACACAAACACTTATAGGTGGCTATGTTGCATGCCTGTATACATCACGGACCCTACTGTGCTCTTGCTATCAGAACAAAGCTTCTCCCCACTTCCCCATGCTAGAAGCTAGAGCTAGTGGATCGAGCATTTCCACATTTTACCTCCTCCTACGTTTAAATTAAGAATATTTTTTTGTATGGGGATAAAGGGAGAAAAAATCACTCTTCAATTACTTTTGGAAGGGGGAGAAGTTTTAAGGGGCATCAAGGAAAAAACAAACGTTAAACTAACTTGTGAGATGGGGGTAAAGGTTTTTCAAGGAGAAAAAAATGCTGGACTTGGGCTTGTTTTTCCTCTGTCATAAGTGGTTTTGTTTTTCAATTTTATCTTGAGCAAACACTTGACAATTGATTTGTAGTAAAATTATACTCATAAAGTAGGGTTTTTTTTTTTTTTTTCCTATCTACGAAAGAAAACTAGATGATCTCTTGGAGACCAACCAATTCACAAGTGGCTGCCGAAGCAACATGGTGGTTTGGGGGTTAAAAAAGAGATGGAAACTTGGTTGAAACCTTGCCTTGTGAAAAGTATTTGTAGTGCTTTGACCAATGAAAATAGTAGTTAAGGCATCCTAGCAAACCTATACTAGTTTTGTCAAGCAGCGAATCTGTATTTTAGAGCATCGATCTAGCCCCAAATGTCTTCTCTATAGACGTTAATTCTGCCCCATGCTCACGCCGCCCTTCTCTTGGCTTCCTTGCTGTGCCGCAACTAGTCGATATATATTAGCTTCGACACTGGGAGACTTGACTCTGTTTGTGGCTAGATCTCTCATGGAACTTGTGTAGAAAACCCTCTTGATGCAGGACATTGGAGAACATAAATCCTCGAAAAACAAAATACTAGTCATAATAACGATGCAGACTTGTACTCATCGTCGATCCTTGCATTTAACCTCTAAAAGGGACAGATCATATATACTTCTTAATTCCACGAGTTGTAATGTGTTACGAGTTTCTCAGATGGAATACCCTGGGTGTTGGGAAATTCCGACCAGTGATGTTCTGATACTTGCTTATAGGAGGTTAAACACATTGATATAATATTTAATATGGTTCGGTAAAACCACCTACATCCACGGGAGAAACCATTTCATTATGTCGGGAAAAAACAAGATTTACAACAATAGAGGAGGAGAAATCATTTTATCTTTTAACAACTCTCAACCTTACTCTTTTCTCTCTTTTTAGTGCTGCAATGACAGCCCACTCTCTTCTACATTTCTCACATCTTTGACTCTTTTCTTCTTTTTATTTTGCTCTTTAACATATGCTTCTATTTATAGGCATTCATGGAGACTCTTCTTGATTTATTGTCAATATTGGTGGCTACCAATAATCAATGGTTGGTACCATTCATTTGTTGTATATGAAATGGCAACCAACCTAACACTCGGTGCCTCTCCATAGGTCATAAAACAGGCTTGCACGTGAAAACCAAACACGGATGGATATATGATCAATATATCAGTTTTTTACACACACTCTCTTGTGGAATGTTATTTGATATAGTATGCAGTTAAATGATTCAGCAACCGATACAGATTTTTTGATACAAACCCATCTCCCAGATCACCAAATAACATCAGAACAAGACGAAGACCAAGCCCAGTCCCAGTCGATCTTACTATATTTCCCAGAGCACAAAGCACTTTGAGCCAAACCCAGTCCAGGTCACTCTCATTACATTTCGTATTTCCCAACCCAAACGCAAAATTTCACATGCCTTAGTCGATATCTAATATCTTTTGGTGGTCGACTTAGATCATGGGTCAATCATATTACATGGGTGTTTGGTATAGTTTTTGTTTTTAAATATTTGTAAAAATATTTTTTGTTTAACAAAATATTAAATTCATGTTTTTCAGTAATTTTTTAAAGATTTTAAATTACTAATATAAAAAATAAAAAATAAAAAATAAAATTTTAATACTAAGTTTGTATTTAATACTATAGAAAATTGTACAGATGTGGGCTTGAAGGCTGAAGCTGTTAACTTTCCCCGGACTGGTTATGTCATTTATTCATAGGTCTGCTTGTATACTATCCAGCATGCACAATCACTTGTTCTATCCTATGCCTCCTTCAGCACTCTGCCATTGCTAATATATAGAAATATTCACAAAATTATCAGAGGTATCGATTTGCTATACGGGTCGAAGTTATCTGCAATTTTTGTTTTCTTGTTCGTATCTTCTCCCTCAGCACCTATTCCCTGCTGTTATTATGCTATATATTTTTATACTGACTGTGTGTCAATATATATGTTTGCTTCTTCTTAATTCGTAAAATGAATATAATTTAACTGAATTAATTTCATACCTTCTTCGTGGGTCTAAGAGGCAATACTGCGTCTCTCTTTCATATCTACATGTTTTTAAAAAAATCTTATCACTCAAGATCGAGACTCTGGTTCGATTTTTTTCTTTTGAATCTGTAGTTATTTCTATTTTTTCTCATCTTTTTTTTTTTTAAAGTAAAAGATATAAATAAAGTACTACAAAACGAATAAAACAAAACCAGCATAAAAAGAAGTTGATGTGAACTTGCAAAACGAACTCTAGTTGTGAGAATTTGTTAAAATATAAAATGAACATCTGACAAATCCCAAATATACTCGTATTGATGTCTATAAATTGACGCTGTCCAGAATTAGTGGTGACAAACATGGACAAGATAGCAGGTTGGAAGATTCAACGACAGCAAAACAGAGACAAAGGAGCAGAGAAGAGGAGGGAGGAGCAGCAGTTTTCTGTTTTCTGAGGCTCAGCATTACATGATGAAACTTCTGTACAGACCTGAGGAACTCGGCAGAGATCATGATTTTCCGGAAACTGTAGTCCTCTCCGTAGTTTACCCCTCTAATTACGGAAGAGTTTCAGAGAACCATCTCCCCTGGTTCTCGTAGATACGGGTGATTGTTGTGACATGTTGAACTCTCCAGAAATCTTCACCACGGTACCTTTCTATTGTCTTGATGAATGTTGGAGGCATATGCCACAGAACCAGGTCTTCTATATTTTTCAGGTTTTCAATCCCATCCGGCATTGTTTCTAGCACCGTGCATGCTGTAATGTCTAGCCTCTCTAACCCAGGCATTGACCCTTTCGCTATTCTGATGCGCCGCAATCTCCCCAGTTCATGGAGACCTAGCCTCTTCAGCTTTGAAAATCCACTAGGATCACAACACAGTTCTTCCCCTGCATAAGCTTGACGGAGTTCAAGCATTTAAAGTAAAAGATATAAATAAAGTACTACAAAACGAATAAAACAAAACCAGCATAAAAAAGTCGATGTGAACTTGCAAAACGAACTCAGGTTGTGAGAATTTGTTAAAATATAAAATAAACATCTGACAAATCCCAAATATACTCATATTGATGTCTATAAATTGACGCTGTCCAGAATTAGTGGTGACAAACATGGACAAGATAGCAGGTTGGAAGATTCAACGACAGCAAAACAGAGACAAAGGAGCAGAGAAGAGGAGGGAGGAGCAGCAGTTTTCTGTTTTCTGAGGCTCAGCATTACATGATGAAACTTCTGTACAGACCTGAGGAACTTGGCAGAGATCATGATTTTCCGGAAACTGTAGTCCTCTCCGTAGTTTACCCCTCTAATTACGGAAGAGTTTCAGAGAACCATCTCCCCTGGTTCTCGTAGATACGGGTGATTGTTGTGACATGTTGAACTCTCCAGAAATCTTCACCACGGTACCTTTCTATTGTCTTGATGAATGTTGGAGGCATATGCCACAGAACCAGGTCTTCTATATTTTTCAGGTTTTCAATCCCATCCGGCATTGTTTCTAGCACCGTGCATGCTGTAATGTCTAGCCTCTCTAACCCAGGCATTGACCCTTTCGCTATTCTGATGCGCCGCAATCTCCCCAGTTCATGGAGACCTAGCCTCTTCAGCTTTGAAAATCCACTAGGATCACAACACAGTTCTTCCCCTGCATAAGCTTGACGGAGTTCAAGCAACACCAAACTAGGCAATTTCTGGAGGGCCTTGAGAGGATCACTTTTCAAATTAGAATATTGAAGCACTAGCTTGGAAATATACTGGAGTGAAGGTATCCATTCTGGTAAAGCCGGAAGACTACATTTGAGATATAGTCGTTGGAGATATTTTGGAGGAGATGAAAGAGAGTCAAATTGTAAGGATTCAGTTTTGTTTAGTGAAACAAGATACAATGCAGTAAGGTGTTTCAACCTGTCCAAAGTATAACACAGATCCATTCCCTGCTCTTCTCTTAGCTTTAAAATGCCCAGCCTTCTCAACGAAGTTAGCTTTCCCAACTCCCTGACTAACTCATAATCTTCATTCACTTCGACGCTTCCCAATTTATGCAGGCTCGTCAATCTTCCTATTCCTGATGGAACTCTCATTCCATGAGTGTCTGGGAAGAACGATGAAGGCTGGAAACTGTGTCGATAGTTACGGAGCTGGCAAAGACATGTCAGTTGTGTGATCCCAGCAGGCAAAGAAGATACAAAAGTCCTTTTCAAATCAAGTATTTCCAAGTACTTGAGCTTCCTTATGGACTCTGGAAGCTCACTTATCATGGTCCATCTCAAACTTAAGTATCTCAAATGAATCAGTTCAACCAATTCAGGTAGGAAGCTGGAAAGGGGAGCTCGATCTAAATTCAATACTCTCAACAGCTTGTAATTGCGAAAACTATGCTCAAAAGAATGATGTGAAGAAAATGACAACAAAGACCACAGATAAGGAAATCTCATATCTGATTGTACTTCCTCAGAGTTTTCATGGATTGATAGACGCCGAACTTTCTCATTCTTGCTGATTCTTGCTCCGTTTGCTATCATAACAAAAGATTCTTCCCTGGATTTCATTTGAATGATTTCTCGCATTAGATCATGAACACGACATGTCTTGACCCTATTAAAATAATTCATCTCCACCACTTGGATCAAACTCCTATTCACGAGTTCATTAAGGTATTCCTCTGCTACTTCCTCCATTGTAAAGCCTCGCTTCTCTTCCACAAACCTTTCAACGATCCATAGCCGGATCAACTTCCTTCTTTTTATCAAATAATCCTCTGGAAAAGCATTTAAATACAAATAACACTGTTTGAGGTCGTAAGGAAGATTATCATAACTTAGTTGAAGTATTCTACGTAGACTCCCAAGGTCGTTGTTACTTTTCAATTCTGTAGCTAGGCAGTCATGGACTTTCTTCCATTCCAAACCTCCGTTTTTCTTCTTCGACAGTAGGCCTCCTATTGCTACAATTGCAAGTGGCAGTCCCTCACACTTCTTTACGATATTTCGAGACATCTCTTCCAGTTCTGGAGGGCATACAGCCTTATGTTCCCCTCTAAAGGCTTTCATACAAAAGAGGGTCCAAGCTTCATTCTCTGGTAAAGCTTGGAGTTCATAAACATGACTAGCATTCTCTACAGATTCAGCCAGGTTACTTGAACGTGTAGTGAAGATAATTCTACTACCACAGTTACAATCAGGAAATGCATACTTTATTGTTTCCCAAGCGTTTACAGTCCATACATCATCCAAAACAATGACATACCTTCTTCCCCGTAGATAATTTCTTAGGGCATCAATTAATTGGAGGTCAGTCATTGATTGCAAATTATCCGGAACAGGTTCGTTTGCTGTCACCAGAA